AAATAGGAAGACAGTTTTTCGGCTTTTTTATTCCTTGCACAGTGGCTTTCGCTGATATTGTGTGCGGGTGAAACGTCTCCGCTTTGATCTGTTAGGCCTTGTTCTCACCGAAAGCGTGTGCGTTCCAGAGCGGTAGCTGCCTATTGTTTCCTAGCGATCGCGATGCGTTCCAGCAGCTACTGCTCTGGAACGCACACGCTTTCGGTGGGAACAAGGCCTTAGGAATTTCCCGGAGTAGTTACAATGCAGCGAGATAGAATGGCTACATTGTAACTCTTCTCAGGGCCGGCCTTAGTCCTTTAGGCGCCCTGTGCGAGAAAGCCTTACAGCGCCCCTCAGTGACCACACCTCTCAGTGGCCACACCCTTTATTGGCCACACCTCGAGTAACCACGCCGCCCCGAGGACGAGCTGTGTCGGCTGCCTGGCGCCTTTGTTGCCATGGCGCCCTGTGCGGCCGCACAGCTCGCACACCCCTAAGGCCAGCCCTGACTCTTCTTGTCAGTGCAGATGCTGTATGGTGAGTGTCAGTTAACATCGCACACAGCCAGTGCTGCTGTGGTACTGGTGGTAAGGACCTAGTCCCAGCTAATATGTAGCCAGGAAGCTGGGGGAGGGGGTGCAGGAGGTACCATGCACACCCAATGTATTAATATGTAGCCAGGAAGCTGGGGGAGGGGAGGGGGAAGCAAGAGGTACCATGCACACCCAATGTATTAATATGTAGCCAGGAAGCTGGGGGAGGGGGTGCAGGAGGTACCATGCACACCCAATGTATTAATATGTAGCCAGGAAGCTGGGGGAGGGAAGGGGGTTCAGGACGTACCATGCACGTCCAATGTATTAACATTATGTATTTTTAGGGCATATGTGGTACGCCCCAAATCTACAACTGGCTAAGGTTCTCATTCACTTTAAGTAATATTTATCTGTTGTAAGCCACCATGTTTTCTCACAATTCCATAATTCTTTCTCATAACCCTGAACCCAACATCAACTCATCCTACGTGTCTCTGCCCACACCCTACACGGTGCCCGCTGATTGGCTGCAGAGCTTGCATACAACAGAATGTGATTGGCTAACATTATATCAAGGGAGCAGTTTTTTCCCCCTGTGATATCCTGGTCTACGCCCAACATGACAGGCCCTCTTTAGTGACAGGTCCTCTGTATGACTACTGCTGACCTCCTGGAAATCTCCAGTTTTGGTAATCCTTTGGCTTCGGAGCTTCCCAGGCAGGAGGAAGCATTTCCTCAGTCTCCCCTCCCCCAGTGATCAGTCTGCTGCAGGAAGGAGGAAGCATTTCCATTAAATAACTTATAAAAGGGGCGGGACAGTCAGTCTGGGGAGGTAAGAGCTATGCTAAGTTCCCTGGTCCGGCCACTTGCGCCCATTATATATGTGACTGTGCGCCCTGTTCCACGCGCTTTATAAATAGCCGGTTATAATTAACGCTCCTGGAAGTGTTAGCGCGGTGGGGGGAGGGCACCACAGATGTGTCAAGTTCAAGAATAATTCCCCCCCTCCCTTTCAATGGCTCTCCAGAGAGGTTCCTAGAAAGCCCCGCCCTTTTCCCAGTCGTATTCTTAGTGCATAGGGAGTTCTGGATGCGCCACCCTGCCGGGGGGGTTAATGTGGCCTCTGCTGCCTTGTACAGGATGTTTATGTGCCGGCTTCACTATATATAGCGCAAAGCTCTGCAGGATCCTGGAGAGAATAAATATAGGCTCTGCAATGAACTTCCTATGTAGACTGTTTTGCTTTCTAGACAGGTTCTCTTTAGAGGGGGTGCAGTAGATACAACTGTCCACAGGTCCATGGAGTCATGGGGCCCCACGTCATTTCTCCTCCCCCAATGGTTTGGAGTTCTGTGGGCCCTAAGCCTTTTTTTATTACACCTCTGGATACATAAAGAGGAAGACACAAGGAAGGCAGCAAAGGCAGTAGGAGTGGTGGCGGGGGGGGGGGGGGGAGG